ATGATTTAGGCGGGAAAAAAAATCACTTTGGCAAAAAATGACAGGCCAATAAGACCACTTTACTATAAGGCTCCCCTTTTTAATCTCTAAAGCCTTTTTCAATCACAAAAAAATTAATTAAGGATGAGAAGGAGGAAAAAAATCTGCCTGTTTCTTGCCAGACAGTGAATCAAGTCTGTTCATCTATATATCTTATCTAGAGTTGTAATTCTAAACATATTAGACTAATTTGTAAGCACAATTAACATTTATAAACATATGTTTCTAGCTTATAGTCTCCTTCTCACGCTCAATTACTGCATAATAATGTTTTTTATAGCGTTTATAGATGAACGGATAACATATCTACAAACTATTTAGTAGCCATCTACGAAGAGGAGCCTTATTGTAAAGTGACACCCATCATTTAGTGGCTGTTTCTGCCAGACGTTTCACTTCATGTCAGAATCACAATTTCACGTTGATGCCGTGGAAGAGGTCATGTCGTACTCTGAGGATCTCAGTCTTGACTGGACTGCCAAACTTAAATTTAAACATGACCCATGTTTTTCTGGGCATAAGCTGAACATCTTGTTTAGGTTGTGTCCCGTCACTCACCATAGACAAACACAGGCATGAAGTAACCCGCTGGCAGAGGCAGCGTGCAGGCCAGGACCAACATCCACATCTCCGGATCAACAACAGAGGAACAAGACGGTTAAATCCTTTCGGCTCTGCTGACACCTGCACCGATGATGAGTCACTCGCAACTTGCACGCAGGGAAGTGTGTGTGTGCGTGTGTGTGTGCGTGTGTGTGTTTGTGTGCCAAATCAGTTTTTGCTCTCATGAATACTGAATCTGTCTCATTTCCATTTGGATGCAGCATGAGGAAGGAAGCCGTAGTAAACAAACCCTGAACCAACTGCACTCAAGTGTGCGTTGAATTTATGTTTGAGAGGGCGTCTGAAGCTCCTCGACAGGAACACATTTCTACATTTGAAACATTTCTTTTGAATGAATGCAATGAAATAGAGTGCGTAAAATCACTCCTTGCATTCGCAGCCATGGTGTCTAAATATTATGTGTCAGACATTTCTGCCTGAAAGGTTACAATGGCTTTTGTTTGCGTTTTCTATTGTGAAAATGTTAATGCCTTTATGCCTTTGAGGAGTTGGAAGGCTGGTGGAAAAGAGCAGATCCATAATTGACCTTTAAATTATTTGTACCTTCATGAGCAGAAAGAAAGCCAAGGACAGGAAAATGGGGGCGCCCGACGAGCTCCACTCCAGCGAGTCCAGCTCCAGTCGCACAGATGCATTGTGGGACTGAGAGCTCCATTGTCTGCTGTCCAGGAGGGAAGTGAGGAGCTGCTTTGTGGTGCACTGATACACAGATAAGTGACATTTAGATTACAGTCTGACCTCGACCAAAGCTGGTGTGAAACAAACAAACCCATAAGTAACAAGGTGCTTATTCCCCCGAGATTTTTTGGGCTGTAAACTAAAATTAATTTGGGGTACATTCACCGTAGATCAGTCCATGTTCAAAAGATTATACGTTACACAAACACCCATTGTTGATCATTTTAAAAAATATTTTACAAATGAAAATCTGAGAAGAGAGGGATGTATTCACCTCTTTAAAATCCAATTGTCACCACAAGTCCCCTGTTAGTAAATAGGATAAACTCATGTGCTTTTTCACCTCATTGTAACTCCAGCTGGTCAGACGTTTGTTAGAGAACGTGAAACAAAAAGAGTCACAAAGACCAAGGAACACAAGCGGTTAGGAGGCTGAATAAATATGTACCCCAGATACTTTTATCTGTAAAACAAACTTGAAAAGCACATATTCTTCTTTAGGTATAGGAAAAATCAGGATACCTCTATTTTAAACAATTTACCAACAAACAAACAATATAACCAGCTTATTGATTGTGTGGCTCAGCTTTTAAATGCTCTTGACTCTCACCTTAGAGGCCAGGTATTGACCTGCGGAGTGGGGAAACGTCAGCAATGCCAGAAAGAAAACAACAAGACCAGAGTACAGACCCTTCCTGCAGAGAGGTTTTCACACAACACAGACATTTGGTTCTTTGTTTTGTTTTGTTTTTTCATTTAGATGCTCTGTGTGTTCTAGAAAAGAAGTTAATAAATGAAAAATAGATCAATAGTATCATTATGGATGCTTTTAAAAGACTCTGCAGGTGACTCATCACTGTCTCACACTCGCATTGTAAAGAAGTCTCACTCTGTTGTCAGCATCGTAAGGAAGACCCGATTCGTTTTGGTGAACTTCAGGATCCAGCGGTGGCAGAAGAGGTAGAAGCGGCTCCCGGCCCCGCACAGCAGCCTGTTTTCAGACAGCGACACAGTCCAGAATGAGAAACCTGGGAGTCATTTTCATTCAGGCAGCAATCGGAAGTCATTAGACCTGGGGAAGGGTTGCAGAGGAGTGAGGCCAGGAAATAATATAAAAGAGAGGGGGAAAAAACTAGAACTGCTAATTAAAACTGAAGGAAAACACAGAGGAACTTACTCTCTGATATTAATATTAAAACCAAATGTCAGTTTTTATGAGGCAGCCAAAGACAAATTGAGGTTTTGTTGAGCTAAGCAGAAGCTGTCATAGTCAACTAACCCCAGTAAAGCAAACAGCAGGATCTCCAGTGGGAAGAAAGGTGTAGCGGTGGGGAAATTGGTTTTGAACAACGCCTGAAGAGTCTCTGCGGACACAAAGCAAATTGGAATCAACAGTCGGGCAAAGATCTAATATTCACTCACATATTGCACTGATGTTTTAATGAAATTTACAGTTAGCCCAAATGCATTGGATAGTTGTTATTTGTTATTTACAACACTGCTGACAAGTGAACATGTGAAAGTGTTACATTTACCTGTAGATCAGACCTGGTTCTTTGAAATAGATGACGTTTCTGTGCTCCGTTAAACGAATAGTTTTGAATTTTTGAGGTTCAGTTGAGAGGTTAGTTGGGTGGTAACTAGTTACATTTGCTCAGTTATATTTACTTGAGTAACTTTTTGGAAAAATGTACTCTACTAAATATATTTTACCAGGCTGTACCATTTACATTTACTGAAGTAACATAATGAAGTATTGCTACTCACTTCAGTCAAATTTCTGGTTTCCTCACCCACTGTGAGTAACTTCACATCATAAACAACAAGCTTGTTTTATTGAAAAACTCACACATGGACACAAACCTGCAGTTTCTTTTTTAAGTTTCATACTGAAATAAATTGATTTGTTTTTATTTGTAATTATGTCGTTTATGTTAATTATTTCATTTTGGGTCCTTAAAATACATCCAAACATACATACATTTCCACTTAACTGGCCCGTCTGATGGTGCATTTTTTAGAAATATTAAACGCTTGATGTTTTTGATCAGTTACTCAGTTCTTGAGTTGCCTATTTGCCAAATACTCTTGAGTAAATTCTTGGACGTCTACACTTTACTTTAACTTGAGCAAAAAATACATTAAAGTAGTGCTATTCTTACTTGAGTACAATTTTTGGATGCCACCCACCTGCTTGTCGGTAATGTCTCAGATGATATTACAATTGTACATTCAGAGTATAAACATAAACTGCAAAATGTACTGGTCATTTTTCCCCAGTTGCCTCGACTCCTTTTCTTTCCAGTTTAAATTTGCTTTTTACAGCACTGCTTTGCGTCCATTCTTTGTCTGATCCCTCCAACGTTTCACCAGTTTACTTCCTGTGGTTCTTTCTTTCCTTTCTCCAGCCATTATAAGTTCATTTTTCCTCATTGAATACATCTTCACAATGATTCAATGATACTTGGACCTTTTTCGGTAGCACAATGTAACATGACTGAAAACGTATCGCTTTCTACTTCCCCTTCTTGGTGAATGAGTCTTTGTAAATAACGTCCCTGAAACAAATACGGTAACAGTTTAAAGGGTTACAAAAAAAAAAAAGCATTTCCATTAAGTTTCAACCTCTAAGAACAACTAAACAGGATTTATACACAAAAAAGACGCAGTCTCATTAACTCTTTATACAGCTTATAACCTTAAATAACAGAACCTCAGTTCAAAAGTGTTGTAAAATTTGCTTTCTGAAATGTAATCACATCAAATCCAGACAACACTGACGTTGCGTCTCGATTGACAGACCCTTCACCTCCATCTCTGCTCCACACCGACAGCAAGTGAAAGGTCAGACCCCCGCAGGCAGCCGAGAAGAAACACGGGCAGTAATGCCTCAGGGCAAAGTGAGAGCTCATCACCTCCACACTGAACAGCACACCTACACCACAAATGGACAAAAACATATTACAAATATGTACATTTATAGTATGATAAGATAGCTTCCTGTGTTGAGAGGCATGCATGTTTTATTTCAGGTGTTACAACGCAACCTATTTTTATGTTAGTTGTGTCATGGCAATGTTGGTCTCACACTCTGGTGTCAAGAATTGGTCTGAAGGACAAAAAGATGAACAAATAGACATAGAGGGGAAGAAAAGGTTGAAACCGTGGATTCGAAAAATACCTTCTCTTACTTGTAGGGAAATTGTATATTTAAAAAAATTTGATATTTTCCCTCATTTTCTATAAATACATTTTGTACAGAAAGCAAGGCTTTCTTGTTGTGTATTAAGATTTGCTTTATCAATATTTCTCTGAGCCCTCTGGTGGTTTTTCAATGTCTTGTGGCTGTTTGTCCCAACATCATTATCAAATTATTGGTTTTTGTTATGTGCAACATGGTTCTCTGCCCAGGGCGCCATCAGGGCATGACACACTCATTCAAAAAGAGAAAACGTTTTTCATTGATTACTTGCACGTGTCAATGGAGATGGGGCGCCCCCTTGAGTTTTTACAGTGTAAGCACTGCAAGCAGAGCAAAGTTGCATTTATCATGATTTTCACAGCATTTAGACAACATGAGACAAACTCTCGACCAAAATAAATAACACTGTGAGAGGTGACACGACCTGAACCTAAGTGATCTACTATGAACAGAGATTCTTTGAAACATATTGCAAACTTTTTTCTAAACTCCAAATTTAAAAATATACATATTAATTTGCTACATGTAATTAAATTAAGTTTGCTAAACTTAATTTATTTATGTTTTGCTTAACATGATCACTTCATGAACTTAATATATTTACTTAGATAAACTTAATTTGATCACTTTACAAAATTAACTACAATTTTTAAGTTGGATCACCTTTTTATTTTTTTTTTATTTTAAATGTGTTAAGAAGCAAAATAAATACATAAAATTCTCATTGTGTTTTGACATCGGAACTACCTTACAATGAGACTTGTTTCAAAGCTGTGAAGTAGAGCACAGAGTAGTTACACCTGGGCTTATTGTTTCTTCACTGATTATGTAAAAATGTAAAACCAACAACAACAAAAAATCAAGAGTACTGTGCACAGTAGCAAGGGCTGCAAGAACCATCATAGTTTCAGATTCATACTGTGTGTGTTGCTTTATTTTGAACTCTATACATTTTTCAAAAAGACTAAATAGATGACCAAATGTTGTGTCAATGGAAAAAAAGACAAGTTATTAAAGAATCTGTTCTGAAATGGAACTTTAGGAACAGTTTTAAGCAGCATGTCTTCACTGATCTATGAAAAATACCAAAGACAGAATCTGAAAGTATATATTTAGATCAAATCTCTCACTACACTGTGTGTGATCCTCCAGAAGCAAAATAAATGTAAGATGCATTAAATTTATATGAAGTAAACCAATGCGGCACATGCATTAAATATGTCCTTTACATCAATTTCTCTCACCACTGACGGGCGCTCCAAAGCAGCTTGCTACTCCAACCGCAGCAGCTACAACCATCATCTCTGTTCCTGCATCCTGGAGATCATAAAACACATGTTGTGGTGAATAATTCTCATTCAGACCTACACAAACTAACTGCAGCTGATATTTTGTGCTTTGCCCAGACAGAAAACCATAACGTTTGAAATACTTAGGAAAAAACTGGTGAAAAATCCTAATGATTTCCTGAAATCAATGAATATACAAACTATATGGATTTGGAAATGGAAATAGAATGAAACTATAGGATTTAAACATTTGAACAAATAGTTGGTTTTACCTTCTTTTTGCCTTGAATGAGTCTGCAAAGCCTGTCCAAATAGGCTCCTAACATGGTGGAAAGATGCACAAATGGACCCTGAATTTAAGAGGTTAAGAGGGAGAAAGTTTTAAGAAAAAAAAAACAAAAACAAAAAAACACCTGCAGTGTGTATTAGCTGCATGAGTACATCTATATTATGAGAAAATTGTTGCTCCAAATCATTACTTACAACTTTGCCAAGGAAAACAGTGCTGCCTGCAGCCAGTGTGCAGGTAAGACCCAGAAACTTAGTGAACATATTAGTGAGAGACAAGTAATGAGGCACTTCAATGCCAGACAGCATGGTTCTCACTTCTGGTACACCGGAGCCTGAGTAAAAATAATAATGGAACATAAACCAAAAGGCAGAATAACAATCGAAAAGGTCCCACTAACGAAAAATAAGATTAAGCCTAAAATGATACTTCATGGATTCTGAGAAAGGTTGGGAGACATCAAGGACAGTCAAAGAGGCTGAAACTGAAACGTTATAGAATATTTAGTTTGCTGATGTGAAGAAGTGTCTCCAAATTTCATGTCATAGTCTTTCACTGGAAGAGAAAGAACAATAAACTAAGTTTGCTGAGATATGCTATATTGCTAAAAGTATTTGCCCACCTGCCTTGACTCGCATATGAGCTTAAATGACATCTCATTCCTAATCCACAGGGCTCAGTACGGCTTTGGTCCTCCCTTTGCAGCTAGAACAGCTTCAACACAATGCAGTCAGACAAGCATCAGTTCTACTGGCAACCTCCAAACCCAGACTCGTCCATCAGATTGCCAAATGGAGAGGAGAAGCGTGATTCGTTTCTCTAGCGAACGTTCCTCCACTGCTCTAGAGTCCAGTGGCGGTGTTCTTTACACCATTACAGCCAACTTGGTGATGTATGGTTTGGATGCAGCTGCTCCACCATGGAAACCCATTCCAGGAAGCTCTCAGTTCTTCAGCTAATCTGAAGGCCACATGAAGGTTGGAGGTCTGTAGTAATTGACTCTGCAGAAAGTTGGTGACCTCTTTGCACTGCGTGCTTCAGCATCAGCTGACCCCGCTCCAACAGTTTACATGGCCTACCACTTGATGGCTGAGTTGCTGTCATTCCCAAACACTTAAATGTTGTCAGTCTGCATGTCTAGGTGTTTAATTTTATACTCCTGTGGCCATGGAAGTGATTGGAACACCTGATTCTGATCATTTGGATGTGAGCAAATACTTTTGGCAATATAGTGTATAACAACATAAACACTAACATTTCAGCAACAAAGCCAGATTTACTGGGATTTACATGAAGCCATGACAGATTTTGACAAGAATCATCTTGGATTTTTTATTTATTTATTTTTACCTCAGGGATATTTCATTTTGTTCAGGAATAGATAATTCTAAAAGAAACAAAGTAACAGGGAAAATACACTTATTTTTCTTCTATTGATGTTTTCCAAGATAACACTGATGGTGACGGTATTCAGACCCCACCAGGGAGAAATCCTGAAAGGGAGTTCCATCAGAGATATAGGCAATGTAAAGTAATTGTTTGTGGACAAACCTGTGGAGAAGGGACAGATGTTATGGGAGAAAGATGAGGCGAAAGCACAGATGCATGCTGGGTATAGAGTCCAGCAGAGGAACTGCAGCAGAATGTGCCCTTCCAGCTTTCCATAAAGCCACAGATGAGCTGAGGATGTAACAAAAGATCACATAGTCATCCTCCTCTGCATTTCCATTTTGTATTTGCTCTACATTCAATAAATATTCTTCCTCGTTAGATTGCCTTCCTCACCAACCACACTCTTCCAGGACTTCATGGAAGAGTGTCAAGGAGAAACTTGTTGTCGAGATAAGCATTTTCGAAATACTGTTCCAGTTTACCACCGGTCAAGCAGGGACACGTTAAATGTAAAACAAACTTTCCTGGTCAGACGAGACCAAATATGGACTGTTTGGACACCATTCAAACAGAGGATAATTAACACTGCACTTCACCCTGAATACATCATTCCCAAAGTGAAACATGATACTTGTAGCATCATAATGCCTGGACTCTTTTCCTCAGCAGGGACAGGGATGTTAATGAGACTTTGTGGGAGGAAGGATGGAACTAAATACCAGAAAATCTTGGAAGTAAACCTTGTGGAGGCCACAAAAGACTTAAGACTCTAATTTCAGCAGGACACTGGCTCTGAACAGAGCCACAGCACTGCAATTAATATTTTTTGTTGTAAAAAAAAATATATTGAAAACCAACTAAACTTATCTGCCTCATAATTGTGCATTGCTTTGTGCTGATTTGCCACATAAATTTCCAACAAAAATACCTAAAAGCTTGCATTTGTTATGAAAAAACTGTGAATACCATTGCTAGAAACTTTCTTGTGCTCTCTCAGATTATAATTCACAGAAGCTGACAATGTGTGTGTATGTTTGTGTACCTTGCAGCAGCTTTGCCACACTGAAGTCCATGAGGAAACTTAGGACGGCTGTCAAAATGCCCAAAGTAGCGAATCCATACCACTGAATCCCACAGACGCTTTCCAAACAATCTCTCAGCTTTAGCAGCTGCCCTTTAACGACAAAAAGTCATGTGATTTGTGACAAATCGAAACGCCTTTAATGTCTGCGCCACACAAAGATTTATTTTTTCTTTGGAAACTTTCTCCGTAGCTTCCTGATTGGCATTACAAAGCTGTTGTAGACACACATTTAGGTAGAGGACGACGCAAGAGCAAACTGAACAGAATGACTGACGAGACTTTTCCCCACTTCTTCAAAAAACGTTAATGCAGAAAGATAAGTGTTAGAGACAAATTGCCATTGAAATAGCAAGAGAATAGAGGAAAGGATATTCATGCAAGGATGGACTCTTGTTAGCAAAGAAAATTGGGAAAAGAAACATTCATGGCCAGATTCCTTAACTTTGTAAATTACACGTCGACAAATCAGAAAATATTACTTCTCATCTTCATAAGCTTGATGCGTATCGCCTACTTTGTCCTTGAACTTATCAATAGCTAAAATGAACTATTACAGATACTTTTCCAGATTACTAGTCTTTGAACTAAAGATTTGCTCGTTTTTCACATCACTAACCTTTGACATTTGCACGGGTTCCCTTGTATGGCTTCCATGAGTCCAGCAGAAGTGGGGTTACATTATGGGATGCTTCTGAGTTATTTTCTTGCTTCTGGGCATTACCTTCCTCCTCTGTTTCTATCTCCAGTGACTTATCAAAGCTCTTCATGTTGCCCTGAAATATAGTAAAATGCAGGAATCAAATATACATGAGAGTGAAATATGAGTTAATGAGGCAGGTGGACTCACCTTCTGCTTGGAGGTGCTGAGTTCTATCAGTAAAGTTGTAAGCAGAAGTGTGTGTGGTGTGGCTAGGTGTGTATCTGGGTTGTGACTGACCTCTGTTAAGGTATTTGCATAAATGTGATGGAGCGGTCATGCTTGGAAGAGTAGCTAATATTAACTCTTTGGAGGAACATTTGAAGGTGACCTTCATTTCTGTTTTTCACAGAATTTTATTGACTCCATCACTCTACGATTTTTACATATATAGAATGTTATGTTGTAATTTCAGCCCGTCAGCAAAAGTTTAAAGAAAAATAAATGTATTGCAATCATTTCCCTTTTTAACACAGGTGTATTTTTGGATTGTGGCGCATACAAATAAATATAATATAGCATGCATTTGTTCATTCATTTATTCACTTTCTCATCACCAAAAAGTGCTTTTGATTATTAAATTAAGTGTCTAAGCATCCACCTGCTCCTTCTGCATATTTGTCTTCATTTATAGACTTAATGCTTGACTTTTAATTATTATTATTTATTCCAACACTTTTAGAAACACAGTCTTGGACATAAATTATTATTCCTGCCTGGGCTTTTCCAAAAGTTATGGTTTCAAATACCTTTTTCTTAGAATACCCCCAATCCTGTAATTGTTTCACACTTCATAGGAAATCAAAGTATAGCCTCAGTAACCTGTTGAAGGTCAATGTAATCATTGTTCACACCATTTGTCTTTTTTTTAATGAGCTCTTAGCTAATGTTTATCTTCCTCAGCTATTTCTTCCATGTATGCTTTTAATTAGCACTTATGTTATTTTTAGAGCCTTGGAATCAGCATGATGTGAGCACCAACCCTCTCACATCCATATATACAAATACAAAGAGAGAGAGAGAGAGAGAGAGAGAGCGAGAGAGAGAGAGAGCGAGCTCCTATCTGTGTAAAACTTGTTTCCATGGAAGCGGCGCACAGAGACAAAGAGTGTGAGTAGTTTCTGAAAAATAGAATGTAAATCCAATTAATTTATAAAGCACTTTTAAATCAAATGCAAAATTATATAGTAGGCTTTGTCATTTGGTGAATATGTACAGAACAAAGAAAGAGAAAGAAAGTTAGAAATCACCCAAGTTTTTTCTGAGAGCAGAGGGAATCAAATGGTGTTTTTTAAAAAAAGAAAAAAAAACCTGAAAAATAAGTAAAATGGAACCAAAATGTATAAGTTGAAGTTAACTCTTCATTGCATTATAACACATATATGTACCATTTAAAACTGTCCATAAATTGAACTGCAACTGAGTGTCTCAGAGGGGGCAGATGGAGCTTCTGGCTCTGCAGCTCCCCTAGTGGTGACTAAAGGACATGCAAACTTTACACTAGCATTAGAAGAGAACATATTTTGTCATAAGCAAAGTCAATCAATTTGCTTATACCAGCAGTTTGATCTAGAGTATGACATAGAAAAAGGTTAGGCTAAGCCAAAAAATTATAAATAGCCTTGCTAAATTTAGTTTGTAAGTGATTTTTACAAAAAAAAAAAGAAAAAAAAAACTTTTTCTGCTGACAGAAAGCAATATTAACATGTGGTGAATGGTTTGAGTGCTGTAATGTCAATATTTTTTTTTCCAGATATAATGGACAACCATATAAATAACTTTGTTATTGTTTTCATTGCATTGTTTCGTTACCTTTAGAGAGACGGCGGTCTGAGTTCCTAACAGAAGTAAACTTCCAAAAACTTCTTGAATAGAAAAAAAAAACTTAAATTAAAACAAAAAACAAACAAAAAAGAAAAAACAAAAGAACTTGAATCTCACATTGCTGTTTAGTATCAGTGCTGCATCACAGCTAACTGCAACAGGAAGCTAGAAAAGAAGCAGTTTAAAGCTCAAACGAGGTATTGCTTGAGTAATGTGGGGATTTGTTTTCATCTCTTGCTTTTATTTCAGGACTTGCAGACCGTTTTGGTAGATAATTATTGGTGGGTGACGTTAAAAGAGTATTCATAGCATACATTGATTTGTTGTTGCTGTCTTACAGCAAAGAAGCTGATTACATAGTGAATATATAAAATAGGGTTTTGGTTGTGGAGGCATAATGCAACCCTGTATAAACTCTTAACGACATGGATCAAAAACCAGGGAGCAGGTGGTGGGCCAAACCAGTAAACAGCATGATGAAAAGCAGCAGTGCTTGAAACATCACTTGTTTGGTGAAGGAGATAACATTAGTTTGGAACCCTCTGATGTTTCAGCTTTTTGTTGTTGTTTTTTCCTTTGTGCTTTTTCTATTTTCCAAGAGAAGCAATTCGACTGTGGATTATTGCAGTTTAAAGGGAAGATAAATCACATTGGACAGTGTTTGTAAACTCCTTTTCCTGAGCTGCAAGGCCAGACATGTGGGAGCTGGAGAGTGAAGGTGATATCAAAGCAGCCTGCAAGGACAAAGTGGTAAATGTAAAGCACAAAGGCATTTGTAGTTAGCTCAACTCAGAATTTAATTTGAAGCCGTAGCTGCCTCTAATCAAGAATATACTACATTATTGATTTCATGCAACAACATGCACAATGTGAGGTCTATTTTTAATAGAAAACAGAACAGTGAGACACACAAATGTTATTTCAATCCTATTCAGTTCCATTTGCTATCTGCCAGAGCTTCTTGATTAAATGGTTGTCAGTCTAGTCTAGGTTACATTTTGCTCTTCATCCTCTGGATCAGATTTTTGGATAACTTTTATTTGCAGTACAGTGGACCCCTGTATGTAGCTAAATCGGGGCCATAAAATTTGTTCAAAATAAACTTTTAACAGACGTTTTGTTTGTGTCTTGGAAACATTTTAATGATCTGTTTTAGATTGGTGAAGCCCTTGAACCTTCACCAATGACGGCTTATCCTGACTCAAATGTGTGGTTCACCAACTCTGCCCAGATGTGTTCTTGGCCTGCTGCAGATGGTTGAGTCTCTGGTCACAGAGACACACAACTCAATGAACCACAATGAAAAGGGTGAAAATAGGTGTTTGGAAGAAGATTTTAATTTCTTGAATGAAATAATTAAAAAATATTTACAAGCATTTTGAGATAAAACTCCAGTATGGAATTTGGAAAGTTTTCAAAAATATAAAGCAAATCATGTAAATTTACTAAAAACTACTTAAAGTCAGGCTCCATTGACATTATGGAAACATGTCTGAGTCATGGAGTATTTTCCCCCAGTGTATTATAAGCCTGGCAGGCCACCAGGCTTTACTTGTTCCCCCACCAGGCTAGTTTTCTGGGGGAAACCTTGCGTAAGCAAAAATCAGTGCATATACAGACACACACTTATAGCTCGAATACTTGATAACTATATCAGGGTGTCTTTTATATAGCTTCCTTTTACTTGGTTGCTTTCTCATAAATTTAGTTTTCTTTTTGGTATCCCAGAAACAATTGCTAGCCACATTACAGCTTTATGTGTGTACTTAAAGTGATGATTTGGATAATTTATCTGAAAAAAAAAGAAAAAAACGTTGCTCCGTTTAGTGTTAAACCTGATTACAGAATAAATAACCTGGCATCAGCCATGCAGCATGTGTTTATTTCCACTCACTACAAAATACATAATCTTAATGCCTTCAGGTGGCAATCACACTGGCTGCCTAGATTAGACGAACCTTTTTATTAAAGGTGTAATGATTTCCGGAGCTTAGCAGCACACGTCTCTTGCACCTTGTGATTTAGAGCTTCCTTGAATCAGGCCAGTTGCTATGATACAATCTTTTCTGGCTTTCCCTCCAATTGCTCTTTTCTTCATGAAATACAACAGGGCAGGAGTTCTTGTGTATGAGAAACTCGTATTTTGGGACAGTTCATATTTGTGATTTTAATTCAATTTGTGTGTTTTCACATCCTGCTAAAACTAAATCAGGAACACTGAAAACGAAATACAACGCCGGATCTTAGGACACAGCATCTGTCTGTCTTTGCACCCTAAGAATTGCTGGGTAAAAAATGTCATTTTTACCCAGCCTTGTTTCTAACCCAGACAAGGCCTGGGAAGGAAACATAGCAAGGTTGGGTTTGATCCATCATACTTGGTTATGTTTTCAACACCCTCAAGAAATGGCTTAAAGTGACTAAAGTAGAGTGTGTTGAAAATAATAATCCACAACCTGGATTTGTAAACAAGTCATAATTAGATTAAAGTAAAAATCCATTCATTGTCTATATACCATTTAACCCTTGCAGGTTCACAGATGGTAACAGTTTCCAGAGGACAAGGAAATGCTCTGGCAGGATGCGAAACCAGTATCTTCATGGCGGAAGGCAACGGTTCTAAGATATTATATTATTGTTGAACATGACATTCAAACACCTAAATCTTACATAAACATACTTGTTTTGTTGTTTTACTGTTGCAAAACCTATGGCCTGCTTTCCTCCAAAGGGGAAATGAGCTCTTGTGGAATGGATAACGGTGCGTTCCAGTTGTAGTCAGAACTGGGAAATTCCGATTCCTAGTCAGAAAAATAATTTCCTTATGTAGAGTAAAGCTTAAAATAATGTCCGTAAGAGGTGTTGCGAACATTATCGATGTTGAAATCCTGACTTCTCCAACAATGTAGACTGGAACACTTTTACGTGTGACATGGAACACAACTCCATGTCGCACAGCATGAATACCAAGGTGATTGAATCCATGTGCAACATGTTCAACATGATGGATTCTGAAGAAGAAAGCTTTTTCTAATCACAATTTTTCACTAACTGGTTAAAAAAAAACACTCAACACCTATCCCAGCAACATGAACCCAGCATTTGTTTTAATGAAATAACCCCGCAAATTTTAGAGTGAGTATTTCAGGAACCATTCCAGCCTCTCTTGCTCGATAATCTCCCATCACAGTCACGTTTGTCAGCCTGTCATTTCTGCTCAGCTTTTGAAGCCTTTCCATCAGCACTCATCTCTGCCTCACTGGGAAAGCAGCCTGGTCACAAGCTTGACAGTGTACTGGAAAATACCCAGTGGTTGTTTGGATTCTGCATCCTGTCGAGTAATTTTCATGATTTGTGCACCAACTCGTTATCTGAAATAACCTTGGCAGCTATTGAATTTCTATTTTTTTAAAAACGAACAAAATAGCAGTGTGCGATATAAGTGTGGGAAGCATGACAGATGATATAAGTGAGAGAA